ATCATGAGATTATTCATGCTTAATTGATATTAAGAATGTACTTGGAAACCAATAACTTGTTAATTCGAGTAGAATGAGTTCAGTTCCTTTTAAATAAGGTCATAAGTTTGAGTTTTATAAATAAAAAAATAAATACTGAAAGAACTTCTCTTTAATAGGGTCTATTGTAGCTTGACTCCAGATTAATTAGGGTTTAATATAACTTCTGGATACTAAGGGTTTAGTACAAAAAAACAAAAAAAGAATGTGCTTGGATGTTGGTTTTAAAACTTAAACCTTAAACAAACCCTTTATTTAATGAAAAAGTATCTATTTACACACAAGTTTTACATATTACATTTACACAAAATCTTAATTATTCATCTTTCTACTTTTAATGATTGTAATTTATCACAACTTATTAATTATTTTTAATAAATGTGAATAAATTCAACCATTGAAAATAAAAAAATAAATAGTTGAAATTTTATATAAATATATTATATAAAATTTATACGTAAATAGATCTTTATTCTTATCTAATGACTCTTATTTTGCATTATAATATTATTGCCGCAACAAAACACAAACTCTTCAAAAGTTTAGAAGTCGTACCATTCTCAACAAGCATTTTATATTTATCATCCAACTAAAGTTCATCAAGTTCAGCTTTTTGCAATTTAGACGTGTTGAAATGTAAATTATTAATTAGATGAGGGAGTGTACATCCATCATCATCGGCAAAAATCTAACCCTTTACCTTAATAAATTTGTAAGTTTTAATTCATCAACTTATATTATGATACTTTTAGCTCATAATTTATACAAATTGAAGAAAATAATCCTTATTTAACATGAGATTATAATATTTGTTAACTAACTATTAACGGTAATAGGAATAGAGCTAACAAAATGTTAATAGTCAGCTGATAGACATTATAAACCGACATTAAGTAAGGGTTATTTTCTTCAATTCGTAAAGGTGAGGAGTTAAAAGTGTCATAATATAAGGTAAATGATTAAAATTTACAAACTTATTAAAACAAAAGACTAAAAATAGATTTTTGCCTCCATTATCAAGTGCCCCATCATTTATAGGGTTATTCATGTCCAATTTAAATTGATTGATTTAATCGAAATTGTTTCAATTTAATTAAAATTCAATCCAAACTGAGGTGAGTTTGAATTTGTTTAAATTATAAAATTTTAGTTTTGCATTTAAATATTTTAGTTTGTCATTTTACATTTAAACAAACCAAATCGCTTGATTACAAGGTAAGTTAATTAAATAATATAATATTTTTATTTTTGTAATTTTTTTGGTAAATATGTTTTAGAATTTTTTATTAAAATAAAAATATAACATTTTAGAATTTTTATTTTTGTATGCAAATTGTATTTTAGATTTTTTTTATTACTTTTCTTATTTATTTAGTATAATATTTTTTTAGTTTTGTAATATAATATTAATTGCATTGATTTTCATTTTTTATTTTTGTAATATAATGTAGCCTTAAATCGTTTTTTAGATAAATAAAAGTACCATTCTCCTAACTCTTTACTTTCTTTAGCAATAACAATATGTGTTTACATGTTTTGATTGCTTTATTAATTCTTATCAATTTTTTTTGTCATCTTCTTAACAGTGTTGTGAAAAGCGGGCTTAAGCAGTGTCATTCTACCTGCATCATCTTTTAGGCAAAAATTCAATATGGTTTGCATCGCCCAGATCAATTAAACATGCCTAAGCACTATTAAGCATGTTTAATGATGCCTAAAGTGTTTGAGTAAATTTTTTTATTAATTTTTTTAACTTAATGAAATTATGTCATTTAATTTATTGTAAAAATTATATTAAAAAAACATTTAATGTCAAATAATTCCCTTAAATCTTGCTCTTTAGACATGATAATGAATAGAAAAATATTTAATTTTTCTACGTATTTTATAATTTGTGAAATTATTTTACATTCTTTTCCTTATTTTTTTTAAATTATATCAAAAAATTATTCTTTAAAAAAAAAACACTTAGGCAACCTAAGCATTGCCTATTAGGGGTGTTCATGGTGTGGTTTGGTTCGGATTTTAACATTTTTTAATCCAATTCAATTTAATCGGTTAGTAAAATTTTTAAACCAATCCAATCCACTATTATATGATAACCAAACAAATCTAATTTAAATCGGATCGGTGTGGTTCGGTCAGATTGATCGATTTTTAACATTATTAAATATATGAGATAATGTAAATAATTTTAACATTAAGTAAAAAACATAAATATAAAATACATTAATATCAAAATAAATAGAAACATAATTAAAAAAAGTACAAATTATAAATAAATTTTTATACTCTTTTACAATTGTAAAAATTGAAAAAATTTAGAAATTATAAACAAATTCTTAAATCTTTATCTTGATCTCTAAGAATACCCAAAAGAAGGCTGCCACAAGCCTCTCAAGCTCTCTTAATTCTGAATTTGGATGGTATTTATAAGGTTTTAAAAACCCTAATTGGAATAGAAGTAAGATTTGAAACAGAATAAAAAACTTAAATGTTGGACGCTGAACGTATAGTACTGACACCTTGAATTACGTGTCGACACAAAATAAGAAACAGAAAGTCTGATTCTGGATTATTAACCCATGGTGTCGACATCCATATTATGTGTTTAAGAATAAGCCCAACAAAATGAAGACGACGACCTAGCAAAATGAAGACAACAACCTTGGCAAGTGCACTCCACTCAAGAAAGTAGGGTTTTAAGAATAAAGTTGCAACTCACTTATAAAGGTAGAATTGTAGAGGAATTTAAAATTTAGAATTAAAATTTAAATATATAATT